ACTTTTTATTTGTTGAGTTCTCTATTGGATATTTATGTTAGTGCTAGTTTCCATCTACTTTCTCTTACCTGTTCATCCATATATTTGCCAAGTTTATGCTGAGTACTTGCTTTGTGCCACACATTTTTTCTGGGGATACAAAGAAAAGAAAAATCAAGGGTCTTGTTTACATGTGACTTTCATGTACAAAATTGCCTGAGATATCTTGAAAACAAAGAAATAAAACCTAAACAAATCAATTTCATGAAGGCAGTAGTACATGTAATGCAATGAGAGAAGAATTTCTACTTTAGATAGGATGACCATGCAAAGTCTTTAAAATACACACACACACACACACACACACACACACATATGTATGTATGTATGTATGTATGTATTTATTTTAGTTGTAGGTTGACGCAGTACCTTTATTTTATTTCTATGTAGTTCTGGGGATCGAACCCAGTTCCTCACACATGCTAGGCAAGCACTTTACCACTGAGCCACAACCCCATGCAAAGCCTTTTTGAGGAGGACTTCTGAACAGGGCCTGAATGATGAGAAAAAATATTTTAGATATCTAGGGACAATCCTAAGCAAAGAGACTCACAAGTGCAAAACCTTAGGCAAGAATAAGCTTGGTGTGTTCAAAGAACAGAAAAAAGTCCAGGACAACATAGCATCAGTGAGTATTTGGTCTTATGAATAGTACTGCTTCAAAGAATCTTTGTATATAAAAATATTTTTAAAATATTTTTGTAAATATTTTTAGTTTTGGAACTGTGTAGTCCAATAGTATATGCATTTTCAATTTTGATATCTATGGTGCAGAACTTCTTTTATCCCTTATTCTTTCTCCCTCAACCTTCTCTTTCTTTCTTAGCGCTAAGGAAATTCAGTTTCTGGAGCCTGGCAGGGTTGGACATTTATGTGAAAGGAATTCTTTTTGGGAAATAATGTGCCAAGGGCTGTGAATGTTTGAGAGACTTTTATATATTTGGAAGACAATCCAAAAGTAGGATATAAGTTTATATAGTATATGTTGTGTTAAGTAATATTTGGCTGTCTGAAAGACAGTGCTCTCCTTTAACCATTTAATAAAACTATTTAAATTCAGAAATAATTAACATTTCTCAATTTAAGAAATAATAAATTCCAAGTTTTTCTAGTTACATTTGGATACAGTACAGTATTATAAGTGATTTCTAGTTTGATACTTGGTTGCAACTCACACAGACTTGTGATTAAGTTAAGGGAATTTAAAGAAAAATTGCCACCAGCCAAAGCCTTTGCTAGAGTGTAGCTTTTGTGAAGTATGGCTTTTAAAATACTTTTAGAAATCCTTGATACTGCTACTTTGGTAAATAAATACAATTTTTTAAATGCTTCTTTATGAAAAGGCATTATTTACTTTTAAACAGTATCACTTATGATTTTTTAGACAAATTAAAATTTTAGATTGGCCCAAGAACACATTTTGTTTCATGAAGTGTTTTAATTACCAGGTAAATAAGGAGTGTCAAGTCATACTTGAGAGCATAGAGATGTTTGTTTGAATTTTTTCAATCTATATTTTTTTTGATGGGGGAATATAGGAAACTTTGTCAGATATATCAACATTCTTATGTGCCTAGAGAGAGAAGGAGATATGCAATATGCTTAATTTATTTTTCTTTTTTTTTGAAAGAAAAATAAATTTTACTTCCTTTGAGAATTAAAAATAACTTAGAAGAATGATGTTAGGAATCTGTGATGGACAGAGTATTTTGATTTAACAGATGCTACTGTGATATATAATGTTGATTAGAGTTTTTTTTCAACTAAGTAGGCTTCTTCAGTACAACTTATAAACAAATTTTAGGTGGAAATTGATTTTACTTTGCTTTTTGAATCTGGTATAGATTACTAATAATAAGCCAGTTAATTTACATTTGATCTGTAATGATTAAGCAACCTGGTTTTTCTCATTGTCTGCTACAAAGTCATCTAACTAGTTTTAATGTATATATATACTTTTTTACTGAAAATTAAGTTCTTGATATCAAATCTTTATGATAAGGACAGGAATTAGTATTTTATTAGCCTTAATCCATTGTCGTTAAAAGGATAGAAATGTAAAATATGTTGCATGTTTACAGAAATCCATTCCTATTATAATATGTGGATATGTATTTTAATTGTTTGAATCATTAAAACATCTAATTTTTGCCTAAGAATATGCAAATGTGCCATTAAATCTGTTTTTTAAGATTTTTCCAGTTTAATGTCTGAATCCAAATTCATAAAGAGTTGGAAAAATGAGATGTCTGAGCTATAGGATTCACAGGGATTTCATATGAAGCCTATTTAATCAGGATAACACTGTTATTAATATTCATAATGTCAGCTGGAACACAAATGACAGACTATGGGGCCTAAAAATTTTACTTGGTGAATTTATTAAAAGTAGCTTAAAAAATTAATGGAATTTAAGTAAAGTTGGTGAATATGAAAATCTTATGTTAGCAGAAAAAAACTCTATTAGAACTTTCTTTAAGATCATTTTGCATTGATGTCTTTTGACAGATTTCATTGGTACTTAAAGAAGAAAGATGCATGAATGGTCATTTAAGAGGATTTAAACACATTGGCACATTAATTTTTACATGAATAATAAGTACTTTCCAAAAGCAATTAACTTACAGTGTACAAGATATGAATTGAAAAATAAGACTCTGACATCAAGGGCAAAGCAAATGTGCTGTACATTTTAAACTTAGTGACAGGATTTTTTAATATTTTGATTTATTTTATTTTTATAGTTTGCAGAGGATATGACTTAGAATATGGTTATATTAATGCATTTGAAAGCAAATTAGAAGGGCATTAATTTAATGCTCTCTTCCTCTCAAATGATATTGGTATTGTGTTAAGCATTATCTTCTCCGAGTCATTTGCATTTATTGAAGAAGTAAACATTTGTTGTGCTAATTGCAGTATTTTATTAGAGAATATGTTCAATGCTTTAGAAAGGCAAAGGGATGATACCAATTAGGTTTAGTGGCAGAAATACATGTTCTAACAAACACTTTTGATTATAGCATTACTTAAAAGTATAATAAGCTTCTGAAAGTTCTGTGTGAAAAGTTAAGGACCATCTGACTAGTAGATTAGTAATTTCATCCTGAATTTTAGGCTAGGAAAGTAAAAACTTAAGAATGTTGTGAGACCAGCATGTACTTTATGTTGCACAAGGCTTATTACTTTTTACATTTTAAAATATGCTTATTAGGGAAGTTATACCAGTATTTAAGTTTTTGTTTTTATTATTGGTATTCATTAAAAATAATTAATTTTAGAGTATTCTGTGAAATCAGTAAAATTATTTGTTTTAGAAACTTTTATAAAAATTTCAGTACTTTTGAAAACATAGCTAGTTATTATTGACTATCAGTCTAATTAGGCCTTGAGCCTTGCCATTGAGAGATCATAGGTATTCATAATGGTAGTTCAGATGGGTACTAGAAGGTTCTCTTCCAGTCTGTGTTTAGGAATTGTCCAGTACGTTTTAAAACTCAGAGCTTTATTGGAAAAACATTAACTTAATGGGAGTATTTACAAATTACCATAGTTTTATACTGTATGGATTGAAATCAAATGGGTATACTAGTTAATATTATTTGTCTAGTGGCTTTTAAAGAATGTATCATTGGATTTTTTGTTTGGGGCCCCGATGTATTCACTTATGTGCCCAGGAGAGGGCAGCATTTTACTATGTCAGGCTCATAAAAGAATTTGCCCTGCTTAGACTGTCAATGTTTCTTGTAATTACTCCCAGTATATTTGTTGCTTGCTTATGAATTAACTTGCATTTATGGAACTAAATCATTCCAATCATTTAATTACACCTGAGGAGCTGAACTATAATTGCTTGCTTCCAACTAGGATCTGATATGGCTTGAGCAGTATTAATTTGGTGTTTACTTTTCTGAGTGCTAAAAGCATTAAAATGATTGTGCAATGGGATTACATTTTACTAATTGCTGGCATTCATTAGCTGGGTAAATGATGAGGAAGAGTGACTGTATATTGCAGAGGGATAAAATTATGGTTTTAAATAGTATATTACTAAGCACATTAAAGCCTGTAAGACATGTTTTAAAATACTCCAGAGGTTATTAAAGACTGTATTTTCTACATGTCTTGCTATATGAATCTCTTATTAAAATACTTCAATTATTATTAACCTTTTTGGGCAATATGTAGGGAAATGGCTTCATTGACTGGAACATATTTCTTTGATATTAATAACTTCCTATATTTTCAACTAATCCAAAAGTAAATGAGGAACTTAGAAAAAGATTGCCAACTCCAGATCAACATATTTAGAGAAAATTGGAAAAGGAGAAGCTTACTACAGCTTTATTTGAGGACTTTTTAAAGAACGCAGGGATCTAGCTGTGAGGTAAATTTAATTTTATACCCTTTTAAAGCAAGACAAAAACAAAACAAGAAACTTACATAGCTTTTACCATGTTTGCTATGAAAACAAGTACAACAGAGAAATACCAATAATTTCACAATTTAATGATTTGACTTCTTTGATTTAAAAATTACAATAACAAGATTAAATTGCTTTTATAAGTGTTAAATGTTTTATATGAATATGCATAGCAAACTCAGATTAATAAATTTGAAATTTTTGGTGCATAAATTATAGCATAAACAATAAAATTTTTTAGATGCAAGAAATTATAGTTGGAGAAACGCTAAATAAATTAAATGTTCTGTAACCAAAGCAGCAAAAATGTCTAAAAAACTTAACTTGAACTATATTTATGAAAATATAACTGTGAGGAAAAGAACCTTTTTCTAAGAAAAAGATTTTATTTCACCTGTTGAAATAGACTTAATTGTCCTATTGTAAATGTTTTCAAAAACCATTTATCCTGTTAATTCTCTGTTAAACAAAGGTAAGGTTTAGGTGTGTTCTGATATATTGTTTTAAGTTTATTTATCTAGAGTTGGCTTTATTTTAGCTTCAATCTTGGAGTAAAAACCAGGGACATTGCCAGAGCAAATAAGAACAAAAGTACAAATGGAGGACTGGTCAAAAGGTAAGGACTTTTAAGGTATTAATACGAAGCCCCAGGTGTTGTGGTAGTTCAAGGCACTGAATGAAATGTGTTTGTTCTAACCAATATGTGAGGCAGAAATGCACACATGCAAAACATATGTGCACTTGGGCGTGTGTGCGCACACACACACACACTCACACACACACACACACACACACACACACACACACAAAGGATACCCACACAAAGAGATCCATGTATTACAAAAGAGACACAAAGACCCAGAAAAAGAGACATACACGTGCACATAAATAGATAAACATAAAAAAGACACTGAGAGGAAGAGGAAAAAGATTCACAGAGAAATAAAAACAAACATACAAAAAGAGAAGATGGTGACACAGAGAAAGAGAGATACAGAGGCACACTCACAGAGAAAAAGACATAGAAAGAGATGTAATTAGAGAGGAAAACACAGACAAACAGACACATGTACAGAAGCAAACAGAAAGAAACACAAACAGAGAGACTCAGAGTAAGAGATACAGTGAGAAGATGATGTACAGTGAGGGAGAGACAGGAAAGAAAGACACACAAAACTAGAAGCACAGGCATACACACAGATAAACACACAAAAAAGACTCTCAGAGGCAAAAGTCATACATAGTAGAAGAGACAGAAAACACACATACACTACACATAGAAATAGACTGAGACACATAGATATAGAGACAGATATAGACATTCACATCTTGAGGTACACCCAGAGGCACTTCAAGAGGGAAAGAATTAGAAGGAGCAAGAGAGATCTGCAGAGATATAAGATATGTAGAGATGTGGGGATGGAAACAAAGATTCTTTGAGAAAGAGAGAGAGACACAGGAAGAGACAGAGAGAAGCAAATACAGTTACACATAGGCCTAGAACACAGCCTAAGAGACAGAACAGTCGTACACAGAAACAGTTTGAAAGTCATTTCAAACTCATAGACTGAGAGCCTGAAATAGATAGACAGACAGATAAATGAGTGGTAGTACATGTAAGCAACATCTACATGGAACAGGGAAAAAGAGGATTTAAAGTCTATTATGGTAAAATGTTGAAGATATGGAATCCTTAGAAAAATGAATTATTTGAATATAATACAATTGAAAACTTAAACCTTTATATACATCTTTTTCATTTCTTCTCAATTTTATAATTTAAAATATAGAATTCTTACTAAAATACTATATAATCTTTCCCTTTTGTATTTCCTTTTACCCATAATAATGCTCTTTTCAAATTCACCTATATTCAGGCACATTATTCCTTGTTTTAGAAAGTTAAAGACTTTTTGGGGTGGGGGCTRTTTCATAGTCATTATGTTAAATCAGTTGATTACATATTTTTTCCTGAAGTATTAAAAGATATTATGCTTTCTGAGTACCTTTTTCTGAATTCTGCATTGTTTTTGACTTCCATATAAAAACTTATATAACCTATATGAACCCTCTTGCTGTTAATGCTATCGTTAGTAATTTCCTTTCTAACTTGGGACTCTGGGCTGCTTGTTACAAATTTAGCATCCAGATGACTTATTGAATTGTGTGTAAAGTAGTAATACATAAAATCTAAGTAATGTGATTAAAGGTTCTTAATGTTAATTGTTTTAATGTATGGACTATGTGACATTTAATTTTGACCTATTCTCTTTATATTCAAGTTTATGATAAGAATATATTGGTGTGTGGTTAACTAATTTTTGTTGTAGATATTTTTATTTATTTATTTTTTTGCCAGTGCTGGGTATCAAACCCATGACCCACCAATGTTGCTCAATGAGCAACATTCCAGCCCAATATTTTTATTATTTTATTCAAGTAAGCAAGCAACATTCTTCGGAGTTCAGAAAGCATTCTCCTCAATTTATTTACAAAATAAGAAAAAGTAAGCAAATTGCAACGTACCTATTGTTTATATTCCCTATTCACAGGTCACATTGCTGTGAAAATCATATTGTTCAAATCAGAGGCCATAGGGCTTTAAGCAACCAAAGGAATTAATGTTTAATGTTTCTAAAAAGTGGGAAGACAAGTAGGAATTACTTCTTATAATTGTAAAAGTGACCATTCTTTTCCTGGCCTTGTTATAGAAACACTGCTGAAATATTTTAAGTCCAAAGAGTTGATAAGGTAGATAATGTAACAGATATAACCATTTACAATTTTGTTTGTTTTTATCATTATAGACATCTTGGAAAATGTAAAGCCAAGGTTGGTAGAAGGGAGTGGTGAAGATATSTACAAAATGTGTCCAACTTTTTTTAAAGAACTTAAAAACAACACTGACTGTATTGTTTAAGTCGATAGAAGTATATAAGTGTGAATACATATGTGTTGCCATATGGGGACTGGTACAAATAATGTTTTGCCTTTTGTGAAAACTTTCTATTTTTCAGCATTTTCTTTTGTCTGCTTTTAAGAAATGAAATGTCATAATCAAAGGAGTTTATGCTTATGTAAAATCAACCCTTAGAAAAAACAACTTGACCTATGATTGATTGCTTAGCCCTCTTTAGTACTTACACTTAGCCCTTTTGTATATGTATATTCTGTATCCTAGAATTCTGCCAATTGTGGATGGAAAATATGTGGAAATAAAAATTGCTTCTGTACTGAACATGGACAGACATTTCCATTTGTTATTATTCCTGAAACAATTCAATGTATCAACTATTTACATAGTATTAGGTATTAAAATTCATCTAGAGATGATTTTAAAGTATTTGGAAGGATTGTAAATAGGTTATATGCAAATTCTATGACATTTTTTATAAGGGATTTAAGCATCTAAAGATTTTGATATCTATGGGGGTTCCTGTACCAATTCCCTATGGATACCAAAGACAACTATACTCATTTACTTTGTAAGAAAAAACGCATGGAGATCAGAAAGCTTGTATGAATAATTATTTGGAATAATGTTGTAGTTTCCTGAATATTTTTTACATTAATTTAGGTAATTTTTATTAGCAGAAACATGGTCTAATGGTTTTATGGCATTCAACGATCCTTAGGAGATAGTTTATGTATTATTTATTGATAAATGCTTCTAATAATGTAGGTTAAAATGAGGGCTAGATACCAGTTAAATTTAGAAAATTGTGAGAAACTTATTTAAATTTAGAACCTTTAGGGGTCAGTGTTCCCTAAGAAAGGTTAAAAAAGGTTACTATGCATACCAAAATTAAATATTAAATCTGCTGTCTTTTAAATATTTTTTACAAAGTAAAAATAAGAAATGGTGAGAATTCCACAGCTTGAAGAAGCCTTAGACAAAAACCTTAAAGTTTATTATTTAAGAATCATTTACTATGCTTTCAAAACACAGTAGTTACTTTTATGTATTATCTTAATTTAGATATGAATTGCATGTTTTTAAACTAATTGGCCTTTATGGTTAAAGTGAGCATTATTCTAAATCAGGATTCTTTGTACTCATTTGAAACAAGGTGTGAAACCTCTTCTAAAACTACCTGTGTTAGTAGAATCCTTACATGTTGCAATTTATTGAAGTCTAGTAAATATTTTGAAAAATCTTATCTTACCAAATTTAAATAAAAAACAACTCTCATCCTCTTTATTCTAGAATTGGACTAGCAATTATCTTTTATAGTCATGATTCTTATGGTTTTACTGTGAAATAAATAATTGAAAGATTTTTTCTTAATAAATAAAATTTAACAAAAGGTAACTTGTATATTTTTAGTGTCTTATTAAATTAGAATACTGTTTATTCATGCTTAGCATTTTATTTATTTGTTTGTTATTTATTTACTTGGTGGTACTGGAGGTTGAACCCAGGGCCTTGTGCATGCAAGCACTCTACCAGCTGAGCTATATCCCCAGCCCCTCATACTTAGCATTTTAAATCTGTACTACCATCTACTTCTTTTATTCATTCACCTTTCTTTTTGCAAGGTATTTAGTATTTTACCTTTTGTTCATCTGTTATTCTGCAATAAAATTATAACTGAAACTTGCATGATTTGCAAACTTTTGTAAGATTAAACAACTAAAGAAATTCTCTAGAAAAACATCTATGATGCCTTTAAATGTCACTGATTATTATGATGAAAATATGATTGTAGAATCTCAATTGTTTTTCATAAACTTGTTTAAGGCAGAAAGGAACAAAACAGATTAGAATGAAATTCATTTCTACCAAAAAGATAGCTGGTAGAAAAAAAAATCTGTAGAAATTATGATTAAGAACTTATTGAAACTGAAGGTTTTCAACAGATCTAGATGACTAATCAGTAGTAAATAATATTTAATAAATGTAAATAATGGCATATATTCCCTAAATAGTAATTTAATTAGTAATTACTAATTTTAAGCTTATTTCCTATATTGGAAAGTAGAGGTGAACTGTATTGGAAGATCAATCCATTTAATAATTTCAATAAAGTATTATGATAGAAACAACACAAGTTTTGGAGCTAGATAGATCTTTTAATTTGTCACTTACTAACCACCTCTACTTGTATGCAAGTTCATAACTACTTGCAAGCCTGAGTTTTCTTGTGGGGAAATGGAGAAATAATCTTCGTGAATATTAGGTTTGATGTATGGTAAGGCCCTACTACAATCCCTGAAACAGAAAATGAATTAATATATTTTACATATTAGAGTATTTTCACTAATGTGGTGGTGGTAGTGGTTACAAAGTCTAAAAATAGATTGCTGACAAAACGATCTTTAAATAATGATTGTTATATTTTATTCTTTCCAATTATAGAAATTAAGTATTAAAGTTTCAAAAATATTAGGAAATATTAACCATATCAAATACTGTTGTTATCAGTTTAATAAGTCTGTTCTCTTCAAATGTAATACTCATACTATCATTAGAAATTTGATTTTTCAAAGAGGAATAGTTTATGTTTGTGTATTTGGTAGAATGTAATATAGAATCAGTAATACTCATTAAGGGTAATATATAATTTGGCTATATTTGAATTCTGATTGCAGTAAAAACTATTCAGACTAGTGACA